AAACATTTTTTTTAATTGCAACTGCATACAGAAACTTGAAATCTAACAGTCCTGAATCAGACCTACAGTGTTCACAACTCAGATGGAATTTTCTGCTGCAGCAATTCAAATGTGAACTTGACGAAAAAAATAAGAACAACCTCCTCTTGTCTTCGGGTCAAAATGACCCGAAGACAAGAGGAGGGTTAATGGATCTTTTTTCGCCTGTGACAGATGAGGCTGTGGGGTTTCAGTCTGGCTCGGGGCAGACTGCTCGCAGCCGCTGGGGTCATTTGAACCTTGTGGTTGCAGATGAGAGAGTGCTGAGACGCAAAGAGCCAACGCTGCGTTCACAAGCGTCCGACAGAGGGAGAGTCAGGAAGTCTGGCGACTGTAAACACCACCAGAGCATCCACACCAGCCATCCTCACACACACACACACACACACACACACACACACACACACACACACACACACACACACACACACACACACACACACACACACACACACACACACAGAGAAGTAACTCTTTTACAATACAACTAATATTTGAATGAGAAAAAAATCTCTATCATTGATCTCATTAATCTTTTCTTTTCCATCTTTCCTGTGTCTACTGTCTGGTTTATACTTTACAATTAAATTTAAATTAATAGTTATTTGTATTACACTGTGAATCAGAAGCAGATTTCTTTTTTTCACTTCTGAAATTATGTTTGGTACAAAATGTCATAAAAGACATATTCAACATTTGAGTTCCTCCTGGTTCTATCTATGGCTCTTCACATTTACACTAATCCAAGCATATTATCTCATTGTTCTTTGATAGTTAAAGCATGATCCATAATTACTGACACCCATAGTAAAAATCTTAATAAAAGTTGCTAAATGTTTTTCTTTATAGATTCTGGGCTACACTAAGTTGCTCTTTGCTGCAGTTTTCTAAAAAGAAGCCTTTGGTTTTTTTGAAAACCTTTTTCTCCTCCTCACTATGAACGATATCAACACCGTTGATGTTCTTGTTCCCATTTACTGGGCGTCTGCCACAATTGAATGTTCCCTTATCTTTCCAATTTTGAAAACAATAAGAGTCTGTGTCACATGGTATTTCATACTTTTGCAAAATAGAAAATCATGAATTTCGTAGCAACTTGAGGAAAAGTCAAAGTATACATGATCAAAAATAAAAAGGGAACTCCAGCAGGCATTAACAAATTAACCCAAAATTCTGCTTTTCCTCTGAAACTGAGTAAAATTAAAATTTTATAACCAAACAACCAGATTTTAGAAAAGTTGATTCGTATGTCTATTAGTTAAATATTCCTTCTTAGCTGGTCACTAAAAGTTGTCTGGCGTTTGATGCCAGTAAGTTTAGATGGCTTCATCGAGGGCCTTAACGCAGATATTCTAGCATAGATACATGGATTAATGCAAAAGAAAGAAATAGAGTGGAATAAAACTATACCTTTGACTTTTTAACTTGTTGTTTTTTACAATTCAAATTCACAATACTCAAAGAATGAGCCCCAGTTTGACATTAGAAAACAAAAAAGGATGCAAGTGCACACAGCAAAGGTAAAAAGACAGGAATCCAGCAGAAACAACAAGCGATCTGCAGGCGTACTAAGTGGGTGAATGAGCAGGTTAACAGCGATGGGGCCTTGAATGGCTGTGACAGGGAGAAAGCGGCGAGAGGCTCCAGCACTGAAGGGACAAGTGACCCGGAAACAGCGAGTAAAGTGCGGCTCGCCCCGGCCTCTTTAGAGAAAGGGGGAAAGAAAATCTGTGCAGAAGCTTGGAGGTGAGTCTGCTTAAACACACATTTCGCCCAGTTCCCTCAGTGTTTCTGCAGTGATGCGTCGCTCAAACCAACAGCACAAGGAAGAGTTTGTTTTTCTGTGCCAGTTCCTGCTCACGACTGTGGCATCATTACAAACAAACTCCAGTATATATTAGCCCCTTGGAGTCTAATTGACCTCAGATCACTGTAAGGAAACACTGTTTGCATACTCGAGTTTTTATGTTTCAATGGACAGTTTCATATTCTGCCAGAGCCCAATAAACATAATTAACTCCACAGTATGCACATGGAGTTTATCATAGAGGAAAAATGCCTTTTAATTATTTCTTTCCAAAAAAAAGAAGAGAAGAAAAATCAGAAAAACAACTTTTTATAGGGAACTATTAAAGAAGGGTTCAATTTAGAGATTCAGAATAAAGATGTTTTCCAATAATGATTATCATAACCTCATTTCATTTCTCGTACTTAGACAAAGCTTTCTTAACACCACCTCCGTCTAATGAACAGTGATTGTGAATATTTTAGACAAAACTGCTTCACAATAGACAAGAACTTTGCCACTTATAAGTGGCAATTTTTCTTTTAATCTTAAAAATTTCATAATTACAAAGCAAGCAGCTCTTTTTGATCTTCCCGAGTCACTTTGTGACTTTAAAATATTTTTTACTGTTTTCTCTCTCTTGGGTATTTCAGTCTGAATGAATGAGTTTGAACAAAAAGATGATTGTTGCCAAAACCTGACAGTTAAAATAAAATTTAACTTATTTTTAAAGTTGTCAAAAAAAAAAACAAAACATAAAACTGTAAAATAAAACGAGACGATGGGATTTATGGAGGTAATTCCTTTTTAGTTTGGCTTTCTCAGGGTTTTCAGGCTCTCTAAGCTGTAACAAACACAAACACGACAATATAGTAGAAACTTTAGGTGTGTAAAAAATAATAATCAAAATAAAACATTTTCACGCTTACTTTGAGTATTTATAGACTGACTCCCTTTTGAAACAGTGGGGGAAAAAATTCTTCTGCAACAAGTCCTCTGCACAGACTTGTAAATGCGCAACCAGGCGGGTTTTCTGTTCAAATAGCGGCGATGGTATGGATTGCATATATTCCACATTTTATTGCAAAATTCTTTGTCATGATTAGAACTGCGTTCACAGTTTAACAGTCTCATCAAATGTCAAGTGAACAAAAACTAACACAAACAATAAGGCCTTATATAAATACACAAAATCAGAAGCGCGCTCACACTTACACGCATGCATGCATACGCACACACACACACACACACCCACACGCGCACACACACACACACACACACGCACACACACCCCCCCCACACACCCACACACACACACACACCCACACACACACACACCACACACACACACACACACAGTGAAGTATTACTGCGGGGTAACAAAGCTGATGTATCACTTGGTACATTCGATCAAACATGCTGTGAAGATGATGAACTCCAATAATAATAATAATAATAATAATAATAATAATAATAATAATAATAATAATAATAATAATAATAATAATAATAATGAAAAGAAAAAAAAGTGGCACATGCATGTTTGGGAACTGGTTGATGAGAAATCATTTGAACCAGGCCGAAGAGTTAATTAAAATAATAATAATAATAATAATAATAATAATAATAATAATAATAATAATAATAATAATAATAATAATAATAATAATAATAATAATAATAATAATAAACTGATCGCAGATGATTGTCGCCTGTAGTGTCCGAGAACAAACCCACTCAGTCTCCGTCAAACAAGCCAAAATATTTGCCGGAGTTGGAGAAGTAGATGTAAGGCGCGGCGTTCGCGGTCGGAAATACGAGGGGGTAAGGCATGGGTAACAAGCATCCGCCCAGCAGGCTGCTGTCTTTGTAAAGACTCGGCAGCTGCGAGTTTTTCCCCGCCTCGGCGAAATGTTCCGCGGCCAGCGGGCCCTCCATGTCCGTGGACAGCTGCCTTTTGAGCTTGTTGCGGCGGTTCTGGAACCAGATCTTCACCTGGGTCTCCGTGAGCTGCAGTGAGCTGGCGAGGCACGCCCTCTCCGAGCTGCTCAGGTAGCGCTTCATGTCGAAGGTGGCCTCCAGCTGGAAGATCTGCCTCTTGGAGAAGATAGTGCGGGTCTTCTTCTTGACCCCGGCTTTGGTGTCGGCGGCGGACTGCTGCCGCTGCTGCAGCGCGCGCCTCGGGAGAGCGCCTTGCGAGAGCGGCGCGCGGCGCGGCGCTCTCCCCGCGCTCCGCCGATTGGACTGTGGGCTTCACTGTGTGGAGAGGTGACGAAATACTCTTTAAACCTTTTCAGATTAAATAAACGCGAGCAAGCGCTTGTTTTGATGCTTTAAAGCATAAATCTGTTGCTGAAAAAAGCCCGCTCGTTATTTTATTTTTTAAAAGTAGAGAAATGTGGGAGTCACCTGTCTCATCTGACTCGCTGTCATCCTTCCTCGGGACGTCCCATGCCTCCTCGCATCTCCTCCGAAAATCACTCCCACTCCCAGCGTCCCTCTGCTCCTTTAAGGCGTCCAGACGCGCGCCGTCCTGCCGCTGCCTCAGGTTTAAGATGCTGTCGATGGTGAATGTGAAACATGCGCTCCGACTCGGCCCGTCCTCTTTGCTCATATTCTTGGGCATCTCATGCGCTCCTGCTGGGTTCCACACTCGGACTCTCCGAGCCGCATCGCTCCTCTTCCACCGCTGAGACTGGCACGCGCAGGAGCCGGTGATCCCGGAAGGGTGCGGGATCAGCGGCTCCTGATTGGTGGAGTTGAGGGAGCAGACGAGAGGCGGGATCAGCGTTCACGTCGGGTCGCCATATTGTAGCCTAAAAGTTTCTATTTTCTTTCCCAGCCATGAAAATCAATGTGTATTTGTTGTTTCCTGTCGAATAGTGCAAATTAAATCCAGATTCCATTGAACTCAGAGCTCAGTCTTGGAAATTAAAGGCTCCATTCACATTCAAATGTGTTCAAGATTTTTAAACCTCAAACTGAAATTTTGACTGGATTTTTTTTTTTTTTTGGATAATTTAAAAAAATTAGTTCAGGGCGTCAAGGTGTCCTGTTTCTTTAAGAACTGTGCAGATTTGAACTCTGAACTCCTTCAGTTCGGTTTATGCTCATATTGGTGCATGCGCACTCACCAAAACACAAGGGAAGCTGTTGTGCAATTTGGTGCGTACATTTTATTCACATTTGTGACTCAAAAAGTGTACAAAGATCTGTCTGAAAATTCTCTTAAATAACAAAATACATAATAATAGGTGTGAGTCGTGATTACAATTATTGTCGTGACTCTGACAGGATGAAAACTCACAAACAATAAAATGTGTTTTTGCAACTGATTGATTTATAATGATTACATAGTAAACATTTTAAGAGATGAAGGGATTTGGGAGATCATGTTGGAAGGTTTGTCTGACTTAAACCAGCCTCTCAGTTCATGAAAAATAATTTCCCAGCTTATTTATTTTTGCTTTGATCGCAAAAGCAGAACAACTACAAAATTGCCATTTTGAAATGATGATAGCATTTAATAAGGAAACAGTAACTGTCCCTAAAAAGACAACAAAATATATTTCACTGTGTTTTAGTTCACGTTTTTCACAGAACTGTTAGTAATAAGCCACAATTGTTGTTTTTCTTAAGCACAAACAACCTGTTTATGATCATACCATCTCACACAGGTTCAAGTTGAAACTTGTGACCTAGTTCAGACTTGGACTAGGTCACTACAAAACTTTCACTTTTTTGTTTTTCTTAGACAGTCAGAGGTGAGACTGATGTGCTCTGGATCATTGTCCTCTTTCATGTCCCATGTTTTTGGTCCCCATTGCTTTAGTCATGATTTTCCGGTAAGGAGCAGCTTGGATGAATTGTTGATGTGCTTATGGAGCATTTTTGGTCAGCTGGATGCTTTTTGTTTATTTGTGAATTGTGTCAATGTGGTTCAGAGTAGCTCCAAACCCATTAAAATAACTTTGAAAAACTTCCCAGACTAAGAAAGAGAAATGACTTTTCTGCTGAACTGTCTTTGAATTTCTTCAGATCAGGCCACAAATTGCTGCTTCTTGAGATGCTCTAGCCTAAATTAAAAATTCGATCAAGCGTATGAGGCTGGTAAAATAGAAATCAGCTTCCAAAACCGTTGTTCATCATAGTTGATTTATGATTTAAAGTGATCCAATTATTTTTTTCCCAGGTTGATCTGAGTAAGTTACGACCCTTTTAATAAATAAAACATCATTGAAAAAGTCCATAATGTATTTTCATCAAATTATATAAAAAGACATCATAATCCGAAGTGTGAATAATAATAAAATAAACTACTTTTCACATTGCAGTGTTCACCAGCCACCTTAGATAATTGTCATAGTGCTGTACATCTACTACATAAATCTTTTCCCTACAGTTCTTTTATCGGATTAAGACCTTAAGGTTGTGAAAGCCATAGTAATACAGTGAATTTATTATAATCTTGAAGAAGCCATTTTGAGATTAAATTTGAGAAGGAGGCATAATCCTGCTGGGAGTTGCCATTAGAAGATGTCTGTGGTAATAAAAGAAAAAGAATCCCTGTTCACCAGAGATTCTTCCAGTTAAAAATATATTTATCTTATAGTTCAGATGATTCAGAGATTCCAGATTTCTTACAAAAATGGAGAATATCGATATTCAGTAGCTTTATAAATTTACTTTAGTCCTGGATATCTGCTTACACGGTTCTCAACACAGAGTAAGTCTTAACAGGACACACAAATATCCAACAGAAAACTCAGTTGAGGTGTAAATGACAGAATTGTTTTTTTGTACCACTCATGCCGCCCCATGACGGAATGCTGCCCTGGGTTGAGAACCAGACTCCTTTCACCTTTTTCCAAGAGAAATAGTTAAAAGAAAAAATCCGGACATCTAAATTAGTGTGTTAGAATTGCTAATAGTGTCTCTTTACTTTTAAAGCTCCTTACATCATACCAGTCCTGTCATCGGTGGTGACATATACATCAACGGGTGGGTGAGGTGTCCAGTCAGTGGACAGGTGGGATCTGAGACCCCAATGACTGGCGGCGACACCTGAGGCAGGCCGCCCAGAGTCAGAGGCGTGCCGATGTTCTCTCGGTACACCACAGGAATTCTGACGACCCTGTGGGCGGCGTAAGGCACCACGGCTCCACCGCTTTCTATGTCGGCGGTGATCTGCCGTTTCCACTTGTTCCTGCGGTTTTGGAACCAGATCTTGACCTGCGTCTCTGTGAGCTGCAGCGAGGCGGCCAGTCCAGCTCGCTCTGTGCTGCTCAGGTAGCGCTTCAGGTCGAAGGTGGACTCCAGCTGGAAGACCTGGGTACGGCTGAACACGGTGCGCGTCTTCTTCTTCCGCAGCATTTTGACTTCACCTGCGTGCAAAAAGAGATTTGGTTTGTTTATTATTGTTCTTTTTTTGTGTGAGAACCAGTATATCAACCTGTAATATCAGATAGAGACATCATAGCCATTTGGACCCGGACACTTTATGCACCAGGTTCAACCAAACTTTTAAAAGATACTTCAGCAATCTTGACAACGTTAAACAAAATTGCCAAAACGAAGACAATTTTTCAGTTTTTGAAGCATCAGAAAATCATTTTCCTAAGTTATAACAAATCAACTCTTGTACAAACTGTAAAATACAATTCTTTCTTAAAAAGAGAGCAAGAGAGAGAGAGAGAGATTGTTCACATTGTGTTTATAGCTTACCTGTATCACAGTTATCCTCCTCAAGGTTGCAGGGAGACTGCACAGTTTCTTCCTCTTTCTCGTTTGTTGAACTATCGTCTCTCTTCTCTGATTCGTCGCTCTCGTCCGCTGAGTCTGGTAAAACTTGGTAATCCCCTCGTCTCTGTGTTGCACGGACCCCCCATTTGTCTGTGACGCTGGACCCATAAATATCTGTGGAGAAAAACAGAGAAACGAAAATTTTTTTACTTCAAAACAACATTTGCACCTGAGAAAAACAGGGGTCCAATATTAGAGCAGATACACAATAAAAAAAATCTGGTAGCTTTATCTATTAAAAATAATCTACATCTTGTTAAAAGATGTAACGGCCCATGAAGGTCAGATTTTTATTTTGAAAACAGATCCTACCTGAACATGTTGATTATAATTTAACTCGCCTCTTGTTTCAGGCAGCTGTTGGTCTTGTTACATTAGATTTGCGGTTGATAAAAATTTCCTCTTTGGAGCAAATTCTGGGGTTTGTATCCCACTTTACCAACTTAGCTAATGCTAAAGCTGAGCTAGATCCAAAGCTAAGATACTAACTTTGAGAGAGTAAAGCTACAAGTAAAGCTAATAAAAACTGAACCATTTTTTTTTTGAGTGAAGAAAATTCAGAAATTTTAAAATAGCTCGCGTGCCTTAAAAAGTAGAAATTGAACAAATTTTTTTAGGAGCCTTTTCGGCCTTAGTGTTTCTAAATTTAGCTATTTGTCCTCAGAAACAATTAAACATTGTGTAAGTTTTATTTTCTCCTTGCCAACTGGCCTAAATGAAAGCGACTAATTGGAGAGTTGGGCTGTTTATTCGTGGAGAAACTTTCAGAAAAGGGTTATCCAGGTCATGTGTTACCAATCAAGCTTTAAACATTATAAAGGAGAGGTGATGGGTGACTTCATTATCTTATTATAACACAAATGTTGTCTAAATTGGACAATTCCCACTGTTGCCGTCTCCCCGGATACAATTATCTATGATTATCACATATCAAAACAATCAGCTCTTCTATCTAGGACACTTAACCTTTATTACACTGATTCAAATAAATAAATATTAAAAAAAGTGATGTTAATAAAAATGGCTGGAATTTTAAAACGTTCCTTGTTAATTCAAACATTTTAAAGACATCTATATTCATTTTTGGTTGTACATTAAAAAGAGACCAAAATAATGAATAGCATGTCATGACGGCATTAAAACTGAGAGAAATGGTAATAAGCTAGCTATTATCCATCCATTATCTAAAACACTTCTTGTGGGCCTTGTGTTCGTCTCCAGCAGCCATTGGGCAAGAGGCGGGGTACAGTAATAAACCTTTTTAATTTTTTTTGATAAAGTGACAAGTGTACCATTTTAATAGCAAAAATTTCCCATGTGCACTAACTGAATCATCTTAAACTCAGAGTTAAGATGGTTAGCTTGGAAGTGACTTTAGCATTAGCGCTATCAATAAACTAGCTTAATACAAACCTACTCTTTAAGCCTGCATAGAAGGTTTCTCAATCACAAGTCTAATGATAGTTCTGACATGTTTCTGATATATTCACCGGAATACTTTATTCACTTTAGAGGGAAAAGTAGTTCTTTTCAGTTTAACCCAGTAAAACTGTAAATCTGAAACATTGAAAATAAAAAAAACAAAAACAAAAGAGAATAACAGAAGAATGGAAACCGTGGGATGGGACAAGTGGAGGCATCTGCCTCTCTTGTAAATCTTTGCATTGACACAGATGGTAACACTTTATTTACAAGGTGCAATATTTACAAAACTTCATAAATGCCCACTCAGTCCAGACCACGCCTCCCTCAGTTTAGCCACGTTGTTATAAAACTGCTGAAATTCTGTTTTCCCATTTGGTCTAGGTGTGCCAGCTCCTAGATTTAGCCCCAATCTGGTCGCCCCTCTGATAACCGTCTGGAGACGCCTCTGCTGTTCTCTGGACACACTGACCTACATCATCTGCTAAAAACAACAAACCGAACGTGGAGGTGAGGCCTGTCACCAACATAGAAGTAGCTGATGATTCATTCGAAGTCATTTTAATGGACAGAATTTAATATCCTCCAAGAGTCATTTTTTACAGTGCAGCTGTTTCGACGCAGCAAAGAAAGGCGCGAGACGGGAACTCACCTCCAGGTTCCTGAAGCGGCCGTCCCGGTTCCAGCAGCCTGCTGCCCACCGGGAAGGGCGCAGCCCCCCAAACGCTGAACCCGGAGGTCTCCACGCGCTCTGCGGCCGACGAATCCGCGCCGGATGTCCGCAGCAGATTCTCGATGAAGAAAGACGGAGCGCCGAGTTGGGATGTCGGCGCCTTATCGTCTAACATTACGACTTTTGCGCTTGTGGAGCCAGCTGGTTTTTGCACCTAAAAAAAAATCCCGCGGAGGAGAATATTATAAAATCCTTCCTGGGAGAGACGTCAGTTCTTTCTGCTCGATGTAAACCATCGCGGCGCACTCCAAGAGCTCCCCTTGTTGGAGATCCAGGCGCAAAACTCGCGCTGGGGTTGATCTGAGGACAGAGAGGCAGCGGTATTAACTACTCCAAGACAGAGAGAGAGGGGAAGAGAGAGGGAAAAGCACCGCAGCGGTGTTTCCTCGTAGCTTATCTCGCGGGCTGTGTGTCAGTCCGCCGTCAGGGACAGCAGAGGAACTGGATTTAGGTCAATTAGGAGGAAAGCCGCGCAGAGAGACGGTGATGTCCTCAGGGCTGGAGATGGAGAGCGCGTCCCGAGGAATGGCACAGTACCGCCTATTGGTTACATCTGTGCATGCACGCCTTCGCTTCACAGCGATTCTAAAACTGATTTTCAGAATAGATTTAAGACGGTCGGAAAAAGGGAAGCCTGTTTTTGTTCCAATGGTCATTTCCCCACATCTCCTTTTTTTTTGTTTTTGTTTTTTTGTTTTTTTTTTTGTTGTCAGAAAACGTCACTGCGCTCAACGTCAGACAGCAGGAAACATGTCAAAGCAGCCGAGGGCCCAGAAAACCTTTCATTGATCAGTTCTGGAGACAATTTTGATATTTGGTTGACAATAAAGCTGCTAATGCGAAAACATCTATTTCAAAATTTCACATATTTCATGGTAAACTTCCGTTTTGAGTGTTGTATTTTTCCTCGGACAGGGAAAACAATAAACCACCACAAATGTTTGTTTGCTGCTTTAACCTGCAGAAATAAGGATTGCACTTAAAATGATATGAAACGCACTATGTAGGTTCCACACAGAGACTGTTATTGTTAAGCCTTTTTGTGTTAATTATGATATATATTTTTATTTACAACTAATGAAAACATGGCGTTCAAGATTAGACATTTGATTAATAAAAAATACTTTATATATATATATATATATATATATATATATATATATATATATATATATATATATATATATATATATATATATATATATATATATATATATATATATAAGTGGTACCTACTTGAAGGTTGTTTTTTATTCCAAAAATCACTTTTAATCTGACAAACAAGTCTATTGAAATGTAATAGATAGATAGATAGATAGATAGATAGATAGATAGATAGATAGATAGATAGATAGATAGATAGATAGATAGATAGATAGATAGATAGATAGATAGATAGATAGATAGATAGATAGATAGATAGATAGATAGATAGATAGATAGATAGATAGATAGATAGATAGATATTGTACTTTTCCACTTTTGTACTTTTTCTAAGCATTTATTTCTACCTTTGTTTCTTTCTTTCCTTTTTTTTTCCTTCCTTCTTTCTTAATTAAATCGTCTTCTGTGTTTGTGTTCCATGTTTTCTACAATGTGTGTTTGACAAATCAAAATAATAATCATTACAATGAGAAAAAAATATTACTAATGCTCAAATTTAACCCCCAAAATTATTGGCATATGTTGTTGCATGTAGGTTGTTAATTTAAATAATCCCAGTAATAGTAATAGTAAAGTTTCTCATTAAGTAAAGGAACACGAAGACATCCTCTAATAAAATGTCACAGGAAAAACTGTAGCCCACAGTTATTTCCAGCATGTTTTGTTTATTTTTGTCCAGTTGAACAAACTCGTCACCTGGCTTTTGTGACTGAGATCTGCCTCTGACAGACTTAATGAACCAATCAGTGATGAGTTTTGAAGCCCAACAATAACTTAACCTTCCAGGTCAGAACATTTTCCCCGTCCTGCTCTGACAAACTGACACAGAAGTATTTTGACACAGTTAGCGGATCCTCTCAGAGCCTTCAGACCGTCGATTGTTCATGGGGAAATCATCGTTTGAGCCTTAAGGCCCATAGATGGACCGACTGTGAGCTTTCCTGAATGTTTAGTCATCTAAGAAGCTGCAAAAAGTAGAGTAAAATGCCATTGCGTGCGTGGAGTTGTAATCGGATTTTAACATTTTGAAAAGCTTTACTTTCATCTGTGGGCAGCAGTGTTGAAAAAAAAAGAAAAAATCAGAAATGCTCAGAAGCTCAGAACATTCCAGGCTGCACAGTTTTGCTCTGCGTTTTGATCGACTGCACTCACTTTTCACAGAAAACAACCCTTTGCTGATGGTGGACATTAGTGAAATAAACAGAACAGAATGAACAAAAAATAAATAAATAAAAATATCTTATTAGCGAGAAAGAGAACAACAGCTTTTTTTGGTTTTTTTTTTTTTACCCATAAGACAAAAAAAAGTTCTCTGCTGCAGCCTTGAAGTTACTTTGTGAAATCCTCTTTGCAGTAATCGCTTATGAATCTAATAGCCTGGTGGCTGTTTGTAGTTTAACACCTCCACTGAGCTCCGGAGGGAATTTGTGTGCACAAAATGATTTACATTTGGTGTCTGATATGTTTCTAATTTCCCGTAGAGCACAGAAAACCTGAAGAAAATATTTACATTTATATTAATAACCTGGATATCTTTCAGGTCTTTCAGGTCTTTCAGTGCAAAACTAGCAAACTCACACTTGAGAACTCACTTTTTCTAAATGGGTGTAGATTCATCATCAGGGTCAGTGTTTTATTTGACTATTTTGCCTCAACCCTAAATAAATAAAACCATAACTTGGACAGCCCACTTAAAAAAAAAAAAAAAAAACATTGCGTTCCCATGCAAAAACATCTAAGATCTCGTCAGGACGGTCAGGTTCACTTTGATTTAAATCTTATTTAGTTTGACTCTGTGGTTGATGCAGGAGTGACGTGTCTTTTTTTTTTTTTTTTTAAAGAAAAGTCCAGACAGCTTTAACCCCAGGACCAAACCCAAATACAAGACAATGAAAATTACCGGACTCTGATGTTAAAAATAGTCGTATGTTAAAGTTGATGCAAAACCCACTGCTGGAAATCCTCCCTCTGTATTTTTGTGTTAAATGACAGACTCTAACATTTAACACTCTTCTCCAGCAGACACCAGCAGAAGGTTTGGGGTTGAAACTGGCTGACATTTCAAACTGTTTGAGCCTTTTGAATTGAAGGTTCAAAGTTCAAGGCTTCGTCACCCCATAAGACATGCTTCCACACCTTAAAACCCTGCATGATGTCTCTGAAAACTCTGGCTTTTGCTTGTTTTTTCTAGTTTATTTTGTATATCACATTTAGCAGCAAATATAAACAAAATACAGCAAATAAATAAATAAATAAATAAAAATAGAAATATCCAACTAAAGGATGAAATTGAGCAAATGGTGTGTCTGAGTTTTAATTCATCGTTAATCTGCTGACATTCAGTGAGCACTGAACGATGAAACTTAATAAGTTGGTGCAGAAATGTAAAGTTGTAAAACACAACATGTGAATCCGACCAATTTATTAGAAATTTTCCTTCTAATAGATAAATTGTACACAATGCATGTCACACTGAAGATGGAGAAGGTTTAAAATGACTCATTTTTTTCTCTAAAATCACAAAATACAGCATTTAACAAGGGTGTGAGGGTTTTTTTAAAAGCAGCAAGTACAGGTTGTTCCAACTGCAGCTTTATTTTGTATGCCAGAAAATGTTCATGATAAAAATAATTTTAAGTGACATGTCAGCCGTGCATAATATTCACAAGGTAATCTTTAAAACAGCATTTTTTTTTTTTTTTAGTTTTGTACAAAAGAACAAGTTAATAAATGATAAAAACATTGACCACAATTAATGTTGCTGGTGATTTACATCGCTCTCATCCTCGATTTAACCACATATTTGTTTTTGGAAAACTAGAAATAATCACATTGTCATAATTTGTGCCTTTGAAATGAATTTTTCTGATGATATGAGCTGTTGAGGTCAAAGCCACGTCCCAGAATGACAAGAGTGTACGAGGTCAGTGAGGTCCAGACGTCTTAACAGAGTCACTCAACCAGAAGGGCCCTTTTTATGCCACATGGAGCACAGAGTGGACTCATAATGACAGACATGTCTGGGTTTTTAGCCTCTCTTTCTGCAGCCTTCATTCTCTTTGCTTGATATTTCTTCTTTTCAAAAAACAACAAAACAAAAAAAGCTGAATTTTCCACCTCTCAGATTTGCTTTCAGTTACAAACTTTCTGGTTCTTGCAGTTACTCAACAGAAAACCGAGTCCAAGGTGTGTTTTAAACCTGCTCAGAAACACTGAGAAAGTGCTGCAGACCACAACCACTGAGACTGACACATACTTGTTCTGCCTAATCCCCATTAGCTCTCACCTCACTGCACCATGAGCTTTATTCACTCTGAGAGCTACTTGCTTTTCTGCAAAAACATCAGAAAAACTTTTACAACACTGATGATGCCTGTCTTGTTTGTTATTTGCAACATTTTAACCCTTCAGAGCATAAAGTACGATAGATTTGGCTAAACAAACTGTTAATACCTGTTTGTTTAACCCCTGGACTCCAAATTAACCCCGTTAGAACCGTGCTGTCAGCTCGGTATAAAGGAGGGGAAATGCCTGCTGTTTGGAGCTTGATCCCATTTGTATTGACTAGAGTCATGCTTCTATGTGATTCCCATGCCCGTCTGCAGAAAGCATGACTCCATATACAGTGGAAGTGATCAGGAATCATGTGGGAATAGTCAGGAGTGGAGTATGCATGCACAGGAAGCAGGTTTCATCCCCGTGGGTTAGTAATGAAGGAGCACTTCTGACCAAGAACAACAATAAAAAGGTTTACGGACCATCAGATCAATGAGAAAACATCAGCTTCCCCGATGTCTGCAGCTGGCCCAGAAAAACAGGGTCAAAAGGTCAAGAAGGTCAAGACCACTTGATGAAAACTCACATCTTAAGCATTTTAAGTTCCCAAAGTAGAGCTTTCCATTCCCCATTTTTGCATCCACTATTTCCCTCGGTGCTCTCAGTCTTTACACGTGAACTTTAATAAATCCAGCTACAGCCGAGAGCAACAGCAGGACATGGAGCAGAAGAGCCCTCCGATCGAGAAATCGCGTGAGAACCGAGCCTAGAACACTCAAGGAGCTGCTTCAGTCTCCTCCCTCCCCCCCGAGGTCAAAGCACTTCTGTCATATTAGCTTACACACACAGAGTCCATATTTCTCAATAAATCATGGACCGAGCAGGATCACTGTGAGCTGCAGGACTCTTCTTTTAGTCACTAGTTTGAAGGAAGGACTTTTAGTGACATTTTTGTCTATGTTGTGTTTTGTGAACGTTTGCTCCTGCTTTTAATTTGAAAGAAAAACCTGATCTTTCAAAACAAAGAGGCAAAGAACAAAATGGAAACTTTCTCTTTAAAGATAGACAGAAAAAAAAACATTCAAAGTGAATTTGAGATTTTTTTTGTAAGAAATGAAAAACTAAG